ATTTCCACTGCTGGGGACTAGTAGCCAATTTGCTTAGCCAGCTCCTGAGAGATGAGGAAGGAAGAAAACAGGAAGGAGGCTGGTTTTCCGATTCTCTGAAATTCCCTGGATTCTGATTCCCAGGCAGTGACTGCTCCTCCCTGGTACAACTGTCTCTGTCTAGACTGCTCTCCCCTTAAGAAATTACAAACCGCTGACTGTCCGATGACAAAGCTTGCCCCAGACACTAGTCCCCTGACACACCAATTCATTCAGCCCTCTTCAGAAAAGAGCAAGTCGGGGTGGATTTTATGGGAGCAGGAGTGTCTGGGTGGCTTCTTTCATTAATTTATCCGTCCATCCATCTATCCATTCATCCATCCATCTTTGGTTGAGTGCCTACAAAGCCCGAAACACAGTGCTGGACATGGAGCGTGGTTAGATGAATAACCTCTACCCTTGGGGAACTCCTGATATTGAGGGAGGTGGATGCAAGATAATTGTGAAAAGTGTGGCATTCCAGTCAGAATGACAGTGATAGCGAACACCCATGGAGGGCTTCCCGTGTGCCAGGCACTGGGCTATGAACTGAGATACATGACTTTAAGTTGGCCCTCATCATAATCCCACAAAGCAGGGACTGTTATTGTGATCCTTTGACACATGAATAAACTGAGGCTCAGAGCATTTAGATGGGCTTCCCAGGTGGCTCAGCGTAAAGAATCCTCCTGCTAAGCAGAAGACCTGGGTTCAATCCCTGGGTCAGGTAGATCCCCTAGAGAAGGAAATGACATCCCACTCCAGTATTCTTGCCTGATAAATCGCATGGACAGAGGAGCCTGGCGGGCTACTGTCCATGGGGTCGCAGAGTCAGACACGCACGACTTAGTGATTAAATAGCAGCAGCAGCACAGAATTGAGATAACTTGTCCGGGATTGCACGGTTGCTGAGCAGTGAGATCAAGATTCAGACTCAGTCTGATCACTGAGTCAACACTTTCGACTCCCCACTCGCACTCCAAGGAGGGCACTGCCATTGCTGCTCAGAAGGAAGGAGACGGACCCGGCAGAGAAGGGGACTTTGGAGCTGGGCCTGGAGGGGTGAGTCAAGGAGGCATGAAAGATTCTGGAATGGGCTGGGGGGATTCTGAGCAATGGAAATGAAGGTCAGAACTTTCCGCATGGGAGGAAAAGCACGAGCCAGGTTTGGGAAGTCAGGATACAGAGCGGGGACAGGCTGGGAAGAGCCTGGGATGCCAGGACAAGGGAGTCAGGACCTCTTCAGGAGGGAGAGGGGAGGGACTGGAGCTGTCTGGACAGGGGGGTCCATGAGTTTTAGGAAACCTGCCCTCTTAAAACACGGAGGATGCTTTGGAGTGGGAGAGAGCCCACCAGAAATTGCTCCCAGGTTTTTTTCATCGTGGTGGCAGAAGTGGGGATCGTGGTGATTTCTACCTGGGGGTCAGAGTTCAGGGTACCATGGATTGCCAGTCTGCCCTGTCCAGTCATGCCTCTCCCTTGCTCAAAGCCCTTCCCTGGCTCCCACGGCTCTCAGGATAAAACATGGGCACCCTTACCTGCCATTCAAGGCTCTTCATGAACTGGTCCCTTCCTGCCTCTCCAGCTTCATCTCTTTATTGTTATTATTATTAGTTTTATTGGAATATAGCTGCTTTATGAAGCTGTGTTAGTTTCTGTTGTGCAGCAAAGTGAATCAGCTATATGTTTACATATCTCCTCTCTTGTTTGGATTTCCTCCCCATGTAGGTCACCACACAGCACTGCGTACAGTTCCCTGCTCTGTACACTAGGTTCTCATTAGTTATCCGTTTTATACATGGTGTCCAAAGTGCATATATGTCAATCCCAGTCTCCCAGTTCATCCCACCCACCCCCTTCCCCTTTGGTATCCATATCTTTGTTCTCTACATCTGTGTCTCTATTTCTGCTTTGCAAATAAGATCATCTATACCATTTTTCTAGATTCCACATATATGCATTCCTATACAGTATTTGTTTTTCTCTGTCCGACTTACTTCATTCTATGACAGTCCCTGGGTCCATCCACATCTCTGCACATGACACAGTTTTGATCCTTTTTATGTCCAGCCTCATCCTGACTACTTCTTCCCACTCTAGCAGTTTCTCCAGACTTCCAGTTTCCGTAACCAAATTCACTCTTTTCACCCCTTTGTACACGGTGTTCCTTCTACCAGGGAAGGAACAAAGGTCTGTCTAGTCAAAGCTATGGTTTTTCGAGTAGTCATGTATGGATGTGAGAGTTGGACTATAAAGAAAGCTGAGTGCCAAAGAATTGATGCTTTTTATCTGTGGTGTTGGAGAAGACTCTTGAGAGTCCCTTGGACTGCAAGGAGATCCAACCAGTCCATCCTCAAGGAAATCAGTCCTGAATATTCATTGGAAGGACTGATGCTGAAGCTGAAACTCCAATACTTTGGCCACCCGATGCGAAGAACTGACTCATTTGAAAAGACCCTGATGCTGGGAAAGATTGAAGGTGGGAGGAGAAGGGGACGACAGAGGAGGAGATGGTTGGATGGCATCACCGACTTGATGGACATGAGTTTGAGCAAGCTCCGGGAGTTGGTGGTGGACAGGGAAGCCTGGCATGCTGCAATCCATGGGGTTGCAAAGGGTCAGACACGACTGAGCAACTGAACTGAACTGCCACAGAACTTCTCTGCTCTCCTTCCCCCTTGTTTGCTCAGAAGCCTCCTACTCGCCCTTCAAGGGCGAGGGTTGGCCCTTGTTCACCTCCCAGGTGGGGCAGGGAGTCCTCTGAGTTCCTTACCATGCCCTCCCCACCTCTCTCCCTCCCCCACATGGTGCTATGCTTAAATGCCTGTGGGTTTTCTCTCCTGGTCTGTGTGCTTCCTGAGAGCTGGGACTGGGCTTCACACATCCGCCGGCCCTGGGTGAGGGCTGAGCTGAATTGAACCCTCTCCTGCAGACCCAGCCTTTCCCCTAAACCATCTTTCCAACAGCACTGCGTATCTCTGGCTGCTTTTATTGTTAAATGATGTCAGCTGTCTGCTGAGAGGCTGCAGTCTCACTCTTTTTGCCCTCTCTCCTGTCCCTTCTGTTTCTCATCTCTGGTTAGGGCCGCTTCTGGGGCTGTCAGGGTCTTTTCAGTGAGGACACACACCCCAGGCGTATCTATACTTACACTGCTGTGTGATTTCCACCACCGATCTCAGGCTAGGGTCTTGGTGGCACCTACAAATGCTTGAGCTGTATAAACAGGACCCCTTCTTCCTCTACAAATCTTCAACGTGGGACATCAGCAGCATACCCATTTTGGGCAATGCCTACATTTGGCATTCATTGGCCCATCTGCCCACTTCCTCACTGGGAGAAGAACCCAGGGCCTGAGTAGAGTGGAGAAGGCTGAGGTGTGGCTGCTGGTAACTTCTATTTGCCAGTGATTTATCTGCCTGGGATTTGCACTAAGACAAAAGGAACGTTTGCATTATTAATGCTCATCGATCACAGCCTTCCAAAAAAGAGAAAGATGGAGAGAGCTGAAGGTTCCAGGCCGACTATTAAATGGTAAAGCAGGAGGGTGAGGAGTGGAGGAAGGCGGGGAGGGCCAGGTGGGTAGAGAATGAGTGGAGCAGAAGGGCACAGAAGGACACTGGAAAGGAAGTCTGGAGGAGCTGCTGAGTTTGGGGTAAACCAGATGTCAAACAGCTGTGGGCGCTGTAAATAAACCAGCCTCTCCTGACAGCCAGTTAAGGTGACGTCACCACAAGGGCTGTTACCAGGGACAGAGGGTCACTTCATAATGCTAAAAGGATCAGTTCATCAAGAAGACATGACAATCCTAGCAGCGGATGCACAGATTGGAAATAATCCAAATAACACGGCCTGGAAATACATGAACAAGGAGACAGAAAGCTCATAAGGAGACAGAAGGCCAGCTCCCTCTGAAGGCGTGAAACCTGGACCTCGCCAGGCCTGGGCCTCCTCCTGAACCCTTCCTGTGGTTCCTCTTTGTGTTCAAACCTTCTCTTGACCCTGTTCTCGGAACCAGGCACCCCCAATACCTGCTGGAACCTGGGGGTTGAGAATTTGCTGTTTGCAAGAGGGAGGCAACTGCCCCTTCCCCGGCCTCCCTGACCTCAACTCCTACTCCTCACTGCCCTCCGGGCTGCCCTCACGTGGAGTGTGGTGCCCCCTTATTTCTGCAGGGATCACTCTCTCACCTCCTGTTCAGATGTCACTTTTCCCCGGAGGCCTCCCCCCACCTCCCTGTTCGAACCTGCACTTCACTCTATCTCCTTTCTCTGTTTCATCGTCCTCCACGCCATTTACCTCTAAAATCACTTCTTACCTTCTACTCACTACCTGCTCTCACCTCCTTTAGGTCAACATCCGTTTTGTTCACCGGTCTCTCCCCACTGCCTAGAACATGCCTGACACTCGCATCCATCAGTATTTGTTAAACGAAGGAAAGGGGCTTCCCTGGTGGCTCAGAGGCTGAAGTGTCTGCCTGCCTGCAATGCGGGAGACCCGGGTTCGATCCCTAACTAGAGAGAAAGACAGGGGACAGGGACAGATGGGGGAGGCTAGGTTTTCACCAGGGGTCTTCAGGCAGGGCCCACCTGTCACCACCCTTCCTCTGGACCCAGTCTGTCCTCTCTCCTACAGGTGGGGGCCCCGGGGATTTCCTCAATCTTTCTTCTTTCGCGCCCACCTACTCCTGAAGCTGGGGCTGCGGCGAGGGCGGAGCCGGGGGCTCCGAGCCCGGGGCCACGCGTCCGGGATCGGAAGGGGGCCGAGCCTCCCTTGGGCGGGCGGCGGGCAGGGTGGGGAGGAAGCAGGGGAGGAGCTGGGGGCAGGGAGCGCCGAGCGGCGGCGGGCGCGGGAAGGGGAGCCTGGAGCCGGAGCCGCAGGGAGCCGGGAGGTGGGCATCGCGAGGGCGCGGGGCCAGGGGAGGGCCCCCGGGGCGGCGGGGCGGGCGGCGCGCCCCGAGCGCCACTGGGGAGGTCGCGGCGGAGATGCGGCGGCCGCCGGCGGGGAGACGAAGCGCTGGCCGAAGACGAGGACCCGGGCCGGCGAGCCCGCGGTCCGCACCTGCGTGCCCGGGAGCGGGTAAGCGCTCGGAGCCCGGTGCCGCCCCGGGGAGGGGCGCCGGGGCCCCGGCGGCTCGCAGTCCGGCCACCCAGATGGAGCTGGGCGGGGAGGCGGCGCCCTCCTCAGCGCCCCGCGGGCCCGAGCGTCCCGCCTCTCGGCGCCTTCGGACGCGGGGGGCTCGCCCTCGAACGCCGGAAGGGGGTCCCCGGAGGACCTGCCCGGCCGGAGGAGCGCGTCGCGGGGGGCGCCGTCCCGAGCCCCAGGATGGAGGGTGGGTCGAGGCAGCGCCTGGGGGCGGCTGCGGGATGCCTGTCTGGCGCGCGTTCCCGGAGATCTGGCGGGCGGGAGGCTTCCCCTCACCCCCGGGCCAGGGGCTGCGACGCCCCCCGCCCCAAGTGGCCCAGGGCGGCCGAGGGAAGGCGGGCGCCGCCCCCTGTCCGCCAGGTCCGGGGCCGCTCCTTTCTGGAGTCGGAGGAACGTCTAGTGTGGAGAGCGAAACCCGGCGGCCCTAACTTGCTTTGTGACCTTGGGCGGGTCACTCACTGCGTCTCCTCGAGCCTCAGTTTGCACATCTATCAAATGGAGAAGATAATTCTTTCACCCTACAGGGTCCGTGCGGGGGGAAAAAAATGAGATGCCTTATGGATGTCTTTTTATATACTGTAAAGCTCTGTCCAAATCCCAGTTAATTACATAACATCGGACATGGAAGAGTACTAAGAAAGCTGCTTGACTGCAGGTGCAGAGAGCAGGGGATAAATCTCGCCCAAGGTCATGCTGCGTGGAAGAGAAGGGAAGACCAAAGTCCCTTGCCTCACTAGCTGGGGAAGGTCTAAGGTTAAGAGCAGGGGCTCTCAGTCAGATTGGCTGCCTTAGCACACAGGGCTTGGCTATTTACTAGCTGTGTGACCTTGGGAAAGCCCTTAATTTCTCTGAGCCTTGATTTCCTCCCATGTGAAAACGGGATTTCGAGTGGCCACCTCACAGCGTGGCTGTGCAAATCAAATAGGGTCATTACTGAGCACAGCGCCTGGCTGCAGACAGCAGCTCGGGCACTTGTGGCCGTCATTGCTCTGGTTGGTAGGAGCGACCTCTCACTGTCTTCCCTGGAATCAGCTTCCAATGCTTTTTTTTTTTTTTTAATACTCATTTATTTTTATTATTTGGCTCTCCAGGTTTTAGTTGTGGCATGCCAACTCCTAGTTGCAGCATGGGATCTAGCTCCCTGAGCAGGGATTGAACCCGGACCCCCTACTTTGGGAGCATAGAGTCTTAGCCACTGGACCACCAGGGAAGTCCCTCCAGTGTTTTCTAATCACCACACATTGCAGGTCTTTGCTCTCCTCCGGGTGGTTCTCTTCCTCCACAGCCCAGGGTCTTGGCCTTCCTCACCAGGGCATCAAGGAACTCTTTATCAACAGCCACCAGCAAAAGTCACTGGGGCAAAAAAAAAAAAAAAGTCACTGGGGTAACTGGGCCTTTTGCAGCTTTCGATCCTGTCCAGGTGGTGGGGAGAAGTGGGTGGCCTTTGGCATGAAGGCATTGGGAAGCCAGCACCTAGAGGATAGCATGGGAGGGGGTGGCCACCTGGACATGACTGGCGGGGTCTGGGGCCTCTTCATCTCCTAGTGGTGCCTAGGACAGGCTGGGAAATACAGAGATGCTTCCTCAGTTTGTCAGTTGTCTGATGGGACATGAGTTTGATCCCTGGTTAGGGAACTAAGATCCCCATGCCACCATGGTGCAGCCAAAAAAAAAAAAGGAAAAGAATTTGGGGTGCATGGCAGGGAAGATTTTGCTTTCCCTGGAAGGGAAGTCTCATGGAATAGATGTCATTGGCCCCAGGTCCTCTTCACTTGCTGACTCTATTTGTTGCCAGGGCTTAGCTTCAAAGCTGCCTTTTCTTTCTTTTTTATTCATTTATTTATTTTGGCTCCACTGAGTCTTCCTTGCTCTGTGCAGACTTTCTCTAGTTGGCAGCAAGTGTACTCTTCCTTGCGGTAGGTGGGCTCTAGGGTTCAAGAGCTTCAGTAGCTGTGGCTTACAGGCTCAAATAGGGTCATTGTGGTGCACGGGCTTAGTTGCCCCACAGCATGTGGAATCTTCCCAGTCCAGGGATCGAACCCATGTCCCCTGCGTTGGCAGGAGGATTCTTATCCACTACACCACCAAGGAAGTCCCTTCAAAGCCACTTTCTGCAGGGATCTTAGGGATGCTGCAGGCGGCTTCTCTTTCCCATGGCTCCCTGCCTACTCCAATGTCCTCCTCCGTGGTGGCAGCTTCCAGGAGGGTTTCCCCAGGGCCATGGTGTCTTCCTAAAAGCAGGACCCACATCTGTGTGGCTCTTGGCAACATGTGATAGGCCTTTTTTTTGGCCACACTGTACAGCTTGTGGAATCTTAGTTGCCCCACCAGGGATCGAATCCGTGCCCCTTGCAACAGGAGCATGGATTCTTAACCACTGGACCGCCAGGGAATTCCTGTGATAGGCTTTAAGTCATTCACTATTGAAGGGACGATGAGTCAACAGCCTCAGACAGGTGGAATAGTTTGCCCAAGGTCACAGAGCTAATAAATGGCCTAGCTGGGAAGCAAATTCCCCTAACTCCCTGACTTTGAAGTTTATATTCTCATCATGTCTTGTCTTGTGCGTCCAGCAGGGAAAGCAGATGGTGAATCCTGTAAATACCAACAGATTCAGTGTTTCATTTCTAGGAGATGAATTCCTGTTTTAAGTACCCCTGCTCACCCAGTTTGGAGAAGTCAACCTCTCCCCGTCCTGAAAATGGTTTCACTCCATCCATCAGCTCAAGTGCTTTCTGGGGACCCAGATGTGTAGCATCTGGCGGGGAGGGGCAAGTTGAGCTCTAGGACCAGAGGCTGCAGCCCTAGAGGTTTCTTGCAGTGTGGTCTGCCCTGCCAGTCTGCTCCCGGGATTACTTCCTTTGTGTGGAAGCTCAGATGGAAAGCGGGGAGAGGATGTGACAATGCCAAAAGCATGTGGTATGACTTGGGTGTGACAGCGTCTGCATACACCTGTCCTGGATTCTGCCGCCAACTGGAGACGGTGGATGGAAAGGGGCATGGATGGGACTCCGAAAATGCAGTCTCTGCCTGTAACTCGCCATGTGACCTTTGGCTAGTGTCTTGCCCTTTTGCTCCCTATCAGCACCATCAGGGAGTTGGAGTGGGTCATTCCTAAGGGTCCTTCTTGCTCTGACACGCTGAGATCCTGCCTAAACCCCAGGGCTGACATTACTGTTACCCTCATGCGAGTCAGTGTCATCAGCGGAGCTGCAGCATCACCTGGCAGCCAGTCTGAAATGCCACGTTTCAGCTCCTGCTCCAGACCCACAGAATCGGAATCTGCATTTTTAAGAAGTATTTATTTATTGGGACTTCCCTGGTGGCTCAATGGTAAAGAGTCTGCCTGCCAATGCAGGAGACATGGGTTTGATCCCTGGCCTGGGAAGATCCCACGTGCCGTGGAGCATCTAAGCCCTTGTGCCCCAACTACTGAGCCTGGGCTCTGGAGCAGCGACTGAGCCCACGTGCCACAACTTCTGAAGCTCACACTCCTGGAGCCCGTGCTTCGGAATGAGGGAAGCCGCCACAATGAGAAGCCCTCTCACCGTGACTAGAGTCACCCATGCTCGCTGCAGCTAGAGAAAAAGCCCGCACAGCAACAAAGACCCAGCACAGCGAAAAATAAATTAAATTTTTTTAATTAAAAAAAATATTTATTTGGCTACATCAGGTCTTAGATGCAGCAGGTGGGATCTCTTAACTGCAGCCTGTGTTCCTGGCTGGTCCCTGACCAGTGTTCGAACCTGGGTCTCTAGCATTGGGAGTGTGGAGTTTTAGCCATTGGACCAGGGAAGTCCCAGAATCTGCATTTTTAAAAAGATTGTAGGTAATGCATGTGTACATTCAAGTGTGAGAAGCACTGCTGTAACCACCTTCCTGCCCTTCTCTTTGGGCTGTGGTGAAAAAGAAGCAGAGGATCGTGTGCAGAGTGCGAAAGGCAGGTGTCTGTGCACCCTCCCCTGGGCCTGAGTCTCTCTCTGGACCTGGCAGAGGGACACCCTATTCAGGCGAGAGTGATGGAGCCCAGAACATGTCAGAGTCCCAGCGGAGATTTTTTGAACGTGTGGCATCACATGTAGTTTAATAGCTGTGAATGAAGAAGGAAGAGGGACTGGCTTGACTCAGCACCTTTTATGAGTGGTGGAGCTTGGAACAGAGCAAGCCAGGTTCCAGTTTAGATCTGTAGTGTCCTAGCTTTGGGGCCTTAGACAAAACACTCCTTTGAGCCTCAGCTTCCTTCCCTGGGAAATGGATATAATAATAACACCAACCTCAGAGGGTTGTGTTCAGACTTCAGTGAGCTGATATAGAGGAAGTGCTTAGCACAGTGCCTGGCACATAGTCAGCTGTTAATAATGTTGCCATTACTTGACTACTACTGCTATTCCAACACCTGCCCACAAGCTCCAGGTATTGTCCTAAACCCCTTCCTGGGACTGCATTGAATTTCATGAGAATTGTTGTTGAGTTGCTAAGTTGTGTCCAACTTTTTTGTGACCCCATGAACTGCAGAACACCAGGCTTCCCTGTCCTTCAGTATTTCCCAGAGTTTGCTCAAGTAGTAATGTCATCCAACCATCTCATCTTCTGTGGCCCCCTTTTCCTCTTGCTCTCAATCTTTCCCAGCATCAGGGTCTTCTCCAATGAGTCGGCTCTTCACACCAGGCCAAAGTATTTGAACTTCAGCTTCAGCATCAGTCCTTCCATTGAATTTTCAGGGTTGATTTTATTTAGGATTGACTGGTTTGATCTCCTTGCTGTCCAAGGGACTCTCAAGAGTCTTCTCCAGCACCACAGTTCAAAAGCAGTAATTCTTTGGCATTCAGCCTTCTTTATGGTCCAACTCTCACATCTGTACATGACTACTAGAAAAACCATAGTTTTGACTATAGACTTTTGTTGGCAAAGTGATGTCCCTGGTTTTTAATATACTGTCTAGGTTTGTCATAGCGTTTCTTCTAAAGAGCAAGGGTCTTTTAATGGCTGCAGTCACTGTCCACAGTGATTTTGAAGCCCAAGAAAATAAAGTCTGTCACTGTTTCCATTGTTTCCCCATCTGTTTGCTATGAAGTGATGAGACTGGATGCCATGATCTTTGTTCTTTGAATGTTGAGTTTTAAGCCAGCTTTTTCACTCTCCTCTTTCACCTTCATCAAGAGGCTCTTTAGATCCTTTTTGCTTTCTGCCATAAGGGTGGTGTCATCTGCATATCTGAGGTTATTGATATTTCTCCTGGCAATCTTCACTCCAGCCTGGCATTTTGCATGATGTACTCTTCATATAAGTTAAATAAGCAGGGTGACAATATACAGCCTTGACATACACCTTTTCCAAATTTGAGCCAGCCCATTGTTCCATATATGGTTATAACTGTTGCTTATTGGCCTGCCTACAGGTTTCTCAGGAGACCAGTAAGGTGGTCTGG